CCTTTCCTTTTCCTTTCCAATTCCTTTGCTAACTCTTATGCAAAACATATTTTTAAGGTTAAAGTTTTAGTGTTAACACTAAAAAAAGTTAATAAAAAAATAATTTGTCAAGAATTTTCTAATTTTAGTGTAAATGTCTTATTTTGAATTGGATTGAGATGAATTAAGCTCAAAGTGCACACAAGTTGCTTAAGGGACACCCTTAACCAGTAAAAAAAAAAAAAACTCTTACTAAGTAAGATTTAGGGCTAAAGCTTTAGAGTCAACATTCAAAAAAATTAATAATGAGTTAATTCCTCAAGAATTTTGTTAGTATTAGTATGGATGACTTTGTTTTGACCAAATTGAAATAAATTAGTTTTTAAGTGCACCTAAGCTGTTTTAGGGGCACTTGAACTAGTAAACGAAACAATAATAATATTTCTTATTAAGTACAAAGTTTAGGGTTGAAATTTTAAGATCAACAATAAAAGAAAATTCTTAAATGCACTATATTAACATAAAGCTAGTAAAAAATATCCTAACTTATCTAAGAAAAACGTTTCACTAAAAATCATTTTTTTTACACTAAAAATCATTTGATTTCTTATAAATAAGGTAATTTTAGTATTATGGACTATATATTCTTTTTCAGTCACCACTAAGGAATACCATTCTCTTTAAGATTTTCATTACAACTGGTACCTCCTAAACTTTACCTTAACAAATATTTTTGTTTATAAATTCGATCATGATTACATGATACCAGTAACTTTTCTCTTACGAAATACTTTTCCACTCAAGAGCTTACTACTCAAGGTACCTAAATGGTAGTTATGTTTACACATAAAATTCTAGATTCTTTTAACAAAGAAGTAATTTTTCATAAATTTTTTAATTTTATTATCGTAACTTATTTTTAATTAAACTAAAAAATTAATTTTAAAATATATACAAATTAACTTAAAAACACTTTGAATATTAAAAAAAAATAAAGAAAAAAGCTAAAATTCTACATCTTGTTATATTTCTTTCCTTCTTGTTGAATATTGACAAGCCCATGTGGTTTTGGAAAAAATTTAGACTACAATTGGATACCATAGTATCCCTATCCGATGAAAAAATTACAACTCATCAAAATATGAAAGCTCATCATTTATTAAAGACATGTCACCAAAATTAAACTTTAATGAGAAGAATAATCTAAGGGGGAATTTCTTTGCCCACTGCTCCTCTCTAACGACGATGGCCCAGGTCTTTAAGATGGATTGCTCCTAGCTGATCCCTTGCCTTTTCCTTCTCAACACTTGAAGATGTTGGTTTTTAGATTTAGGATTAGGAGAAAAGGCAAACCCTTTGTTTAGATTTATCTAAATCAGAGATTAATTCAAAGTTGTGGTGCTATGCCTGAATTTCAAGATTCCTACCTAAAACTCAAGAAAAGGTTAAAATAAGAATACAAATTTTGTCATATGTTCTATTTACTGAAATGAACATTTCAAGTTTTTAAATTAGATTGTAAATTTTTATTTTTTTTAAAAATAAAGATACAAATTTTATGTTTTTCTATGTAAGGTTCCAAATTTTGCCCTATTTCTATTTAAGAATTTATTAGATGGCAATAGTGACATGACAAATGGCTATTTTAATCAAAATAAGACAAAGTATATATCCTTAAATAAAAAAAATAAAAGTTTATCGCCTGATTTAGAAGTCCAAAAAATTGTATCATTTAAATAGAAATGGCAAAATCTATATCCTTATTTGCACATTTTTTCACTAAAACTTGACTAAGTTAGAATTGCTTACTTTATAGAGATAAAACACAACAATTAATAGTTGCTAAGTTTTCAATCTGGTCAATTTGAACAATGTGAGTTGTGCCCTTAAAGCCACTTTTAAATGTTCCTATGCCCTACCACTAGCCAAAATTTGGTTTTTAGAAGTCAACAATAAAACACATTAAGTTCTTGATTTGAGATGTTCTTAACTTAAACAACAATGAAACAAAACAGCTAATCCTTTGGGCACATGAATCCAATATTTGTTCATCATCTTAGTTCCCAATTACAAATAAGCACAATTTCTATCAGCATCACCATATACCGATACAAAATTAAACAAATCTACAACAAAAAGAAAGTGAGAAAGCAAGATTAGAATGTGACATTGCAATAAGATAGATAACAATTTCTAAGATCCAATTGAGTTATTTAATATGAAATTCTTGTTTCTACTTTGATATTTGGTCTAAACTCTTGAGAGAAGTTTGGAAGGAAAGAGACACTGTGACTAAGAAAGATAGAAAGAACAAAAGTGGAGGAAAGGGATGGTTGTAATTGGGGAAACTCGCCGTTAGACTCCTTTTCTCATTAAAGTTTGGTTTTTTTTTTTTTTTTTTATGTGTCTTTAATGGAATGACAAGTTATCTTATTTTGATGAGTTGTAATTTTTTCATTGGATATGGATACCATCTGTTGTGGTATCCCATTGTATCTTATAATCTTGTGGTATTGTAAGTTTACATTTTCTAATTATAAGTGTCATTATATAATTGGTTTTATTCTCGAATTCACCCATAATATTATATGTATCTATTCATTTAATAATTCATTATGATTGCAAGTTTACAATCTCATATGATATTTTAACTATAATATTACTATTGTATTCTAGACTTTCTTCATAATTTAGGGGCTTAAGCGATACATTTTTAGTTTTGGGACTTAAACTAAAATGCATGTAAGTTTGAGCTTTAATTTAGGAGAAAATATGTAAATAAGGGTATTAACTTTATACATTTTTCTATTTAAGGATATTAACTTTGTTAGTTTTTAAATAATGATATTAACTTTCAATTTTTTCTATTTAAATATATTAACTTTCAACTTTTTCTATTTAAAAATA